TAGAGGAAACATGTGAAAACTGGTCTTGTGCAGAAAAAATGAAGGAATTAGGTAAGGAGGAGGCAGCGAGAGGAGGGAAAGGTCAGCCTCTAGAAATCTCTCAAGATTCACCTAAATTCTATCGCTCCTCATGAGGTCAGTTTCTAGATATTCCCCCAATCTAACATAATAATTACATAACCAACACCCTAGACATCTTCCTTCAGCTATAACCCTTAACCCCTTTCCCCTTAACTGTGTACATTCCAATGTCAACCTTGACCCTCTTACCTTCCTGACAAATCAATGAGGAGAGGGAAGTTTGGACACTACAAGCCAGAGGATGCTAACCTAAAGGAACAAAAACTCAGACAATGGTACACAAATTCAGATGGATGATGAATGGAAAGAAACAACAGAGGCAGCTCCAGACATCATAACTCTTACAGAGACGAAAATAACTGAAATAATAACAAGTGCAATATTTTCAGCAAGATATCATGTAATGAGGAAAAAATGACGGAAAACCTAGGAGGGAAATTTGAGGCACTGCTTAAATGAAATCATTGGAGTTTTGAAGAGATGTGAAGGATAAACAAAAATCAGTTCAGTGACTACAAAATGGGCACAATTAAGGCTGGAAAATCAAAAGCAGTGATTTACAACCCACCACCAAATAGAAGGAGATCGAGACTGGATTCTGAATATAACAAAATAATGTTTGACACCATAACGAAGGCAGCAAGAAGAACCCACATGACCAAAGATAAGTTAGTAATTATGGATTATTTCAACCATAAAGAAACAGACAAGGAGAACTGGAACCCACATGGGAGACCAGAAACACGAGAGCTATGATCATGGAGATAGTGATGCAAAACTTCCTGAGACAGTATTTGACACAATGAGAGAGAAAGAGAGAGAGATGAAATGGCAAGGACTTGATCTAATATTTACGAAATGTACATCTGATGTAGGCAAGAATGAATACAAGAGGCCTCTGGGAATTAGCAGCCGTCAAGTAGTCAGTGTTGAATATCTTGTGGAAAAATGACATTGAGGGTTAAATAGCAGGAGGGAGACAATATAGGCCCGATTTTAGAAGAGGAAACAATAAGTAGAGAATTCTTGACTAAGGAACAGTGGGTATGGAACCTAGATGGAGAACCAGTGAATGAGAGGTTAATATACCTAGTCAGAAAGTGGAGGGAGGATGTGGAAAAAGTTTATTACAAGAAGACCTCATGTTAAGAACAGAGAGATGAGGTTTAACAAAAGATGCAGAGTGGATGAAAACGAGAAATACATGAGCATGGAAAAATATAGAAAAAGAATGGCAGAAGAAAACAAGGAGGTGAGCAGAATAACCAGAAATGATAATGCATGAGTGATGGGTAGAGGTTTAACAATAATTTGATACTGATATCGTATCAAGAGCATTTCAGCTACTTTAAGAGAAAGACTACAGCAAAAGACGAGGTTATAATAATGAAGTAGGAAGGTGGAGAGCTCAGGAGAAATGACAAAGAATTTTGTGAGGAATTTAACGAACGATTTAAGATGTTCGCTCTAGAAACAGCGGCAATACAAGAAAGCCAAAGAGAAATGGTAAATAAAATGCTGAGTGAACTGTGTATATCGTTGGTTCATTGATGACATGCCATCGCTGAATCTACGAGAAGGAGCAGAAGCTCTGTCTGAAATACTAGAAAAATCTACGAGAAGTGAGTGAATATATGACAGCTGCTAAAGATCTAAAAGAGAGTTGATGCATTCCCAGTATTTAATGAAGGAAGAAAAAGGGCTAAATTTCACGACAGCATCAGTAAAATTCCTACAACATGAGGTAATGGATAAGATCATCAGAAGTGGTTGATTACTTAGAGAGAAGTGATAGATTATTTAGAAAGAAGTGACAAAATTACTTAGAGAGAAGTGGTTTCAGAAACAATAGCCATCCTGAGTGACAAACTCATGTCTATAATATGCCTGTAACTGGTTTGCTAGGCCTCAGTCCTAGCAAATCTATTGAATGCTTGCTTAAGTTGGCTTTTACTGTTAGCGGCTCACTGGCCCAGGTGCCGTAGCTATCACAACCTGGTTGATCCTGCACTCTGAACAGCTACAAAAAAAATCTTTTTATTGCTTCTTTGTTCCCGGAGTTTGCCTGGAGAGAGTTCCGGGGGTCAACGCCCCCGCGGCCCGGTCTGTGACCAGGCCTCATTGTGGATCAGAGCCTGATCACCCAGGCTGTTACTGCTGCCTGCAAGCAATCCAACGTACGAGCCACAGCCCGGCTGGTCAGGTACCGACTTTAGGTGCTTGTCCAGTGTCTGCTTGAAGACAGTCAGGGGTCTATTGGTAATCCCCCTTATGCTCTTGTCAAAGATACTCAAAGAAAAAATATATTGCGAAAACTAAGGCTAACAGAGGCTTGCCTCACCTACCAACAACATCTAAATAAGATTCAACAACAATGAAAGTTTGAAACCGAGAAGAAGAGGCATTTTCAAGTCACTTCACAGAAAATAATATCCAAAGTTGATTAATAAAACTGGTATATTAGCATCTATACACTTACAATCCAAAATTATTTATTAAACAAGGTACACCAGCATTTAATGTTTGAAGCCGATCAGAAAATGCAAGTAAGTTTATTCAGGTATACACAAATACAGTTACATAGAATTATCATACATAGCAGCATATGTGTAGAGAACCTGGGATAACCCAAAAAAGTCAGAGTGACTTATTTCCATTGTGGTCCTGCATTCTCTAGTTATTGCACAAAAATCACTGTCCTAATCTGTTTCATGAAATTGGCAAAAATTGAAAGTCACACCTTAAACCTTCATAACATGACGATCCTCTCACTGGTCAATATCAACAAACACTGAAAAAATTGAAACTGATCTTAAAGTCATTCTCCAGGTTTTGCAAAGAAACCAGTGAGCCCTACATAGGAAGGTTAGCACAGGCACCACTGTGACCACGCTAGCTGGAGATTCGTCTGTAAAAACTTGCATTTGTGGCCACAGTGGTGCCTGTGCTAACCTTCCCATGGTGTAGAAATATACCTAGTTGGATGAATCTTATTGTGGCTAGCTGGTCTAGTGGCTAACGCGACGGGCTGGAGTTTTGAGACTCTCTGACCGCGGGTTCAATCCCGGCCGAGGTATGGTTTGTTTGTAATCGTGTCATTACGATTTCGTGAGTCAAGTCCAGGTGGACTGTTCCACTCATCCACTACTAGGTAGACTTGTTCCACTACTAGGCAGACTGTTCCACTCATTCACTAATAGGTAGACTGTTGCACTACTAGGAAGACTGTTCCACTCATTTACTACTAGGCAGACTGTTCCACTCATTTACTACTAGGTAGACTTGTTCCACTACTAGGCAGACTGTTCCACCCATTCACTACTTGGTAGTCTGTTCCACTACTAGGCAGACTGTTCCACTCATTCACTACTAGGTAGACTGTTCCACTCATCCACTACTAGGCAGACTGTTCCACTCATCCACTACTAGGTAGACTGTTCCACTCATCCACTACTAGGTAGACTGGTCCACTCATCCACTACTAGGTAGAATGTTCTACTCATCCACTACTAGGTACACTTGTTCCACTACTAGGCAGACTGTTCCAATCATTCACTACCAGGTAGACTTGTTCCACTACTAGGCAGACTGTTCCACTCATTCACTACTAGGTAGACTGTTACTAGGCAGACTGTTCCACTCATCCACTACTAGGTAGACTTGTTCCACTACTAGGCAGACTGTTCCACTCATTCACTACTAGGTACACTGTTCCACTCATCCACTACCAGGTAGACTTGTTTCACTACTAGGCAGACTGTTCCACTCATTCACTACTCGGTAAACTGTTGCTAGGCAGACTGTTCCACTCATTCACTACAAGGTAGACTGTTCCACTCATCCACTAATAGATAGACTTGTTCCACTACTAGGCAGACTGTTCCACTCATTCACTACTAGGTAGACTTGTTCCACTACTAGATGCACTGTTCCACTCTTCCACTACTAGGTAGACTGTTCCACTCATCCACTTCTAGGTAGACTGTTCCACTACTTGGTACACTGTTCCACTCATCCACTACTAGGTAGGCTGTTCCACTCATCCACTTCTGGGTAGACTGTTCCACTACTAGGCAGACTGTTTCACTCATTCACTACTTGGCAGACTGTTCCACTCATTCACTACTAGGTAGACTGTTCCACTCATCCACTTCTAGGTAGACTGTTCCACTACTAAGTAGGCTGTTCCACTCATTCTCTACTAGGTAGACTGTTCCACTCATCCACTTCTAGGTAAACTGTTCCACTACTAAGTAGACTGTTCCACTCATTCACTACTAGGCAGACTGTTCCACTACTAGGCAGACTGTTCCACTACTAGGCAGACTGTTCCACTACTAGGCAGACTGTTCCACTACTAGACAGACTGTTCCACTACTAGGCATACTGTTCCACTACTAGACAGACTGTTAAACTACTAGGCAGACTGTTCCACTACTAGACAGACTGTTCCACTACTAGGCAGACTGTTCCACTACTAGGCAGACTGTTCCACTACTAGACAGACTGTTCCACTACTAAGCAGACTGTTCCACTACTAGACAGACTGTTCCACTACTAGACAGACTGTTCCACTACTAGGCAGACTGTTCCACTACTAGACAGACTGTTCCACTACTAAGCAGACTGTTTCACTAGTAGACAGACTGTTCCACTACTAGACAGACTGTTCCACTACTAGATAGACTGTTCCACTACTAGGCAGACTGTTCCACTACTAGGCAGACTGTTCCACTACTAGACAGACTGTTCCACTACTAAGCAGACTGTTCCACTACTAGACAGACTGTTCCACTACTAGACAGACTGTTCCACTACTAAGCAGACTGTTCCACTACTAGACAGACTGTTCCACTACTAGACAGACTGTTCCACTACTAAGCAGACTGTTCCACTACTAGACAGACTGTTCCACTACTAGACAGACTGTTCCACTACTAAGCAGACTGTTCCACTACTAGACAGACTGTTCCACTACTAGACAGACTGTTCCACTACTAGACAGACTGTTCCACTATTAGGCAGACTGTTCCACTCATCGACTACTCTATTTAAAACCAGTATTTTCCTACATCGTTTCTACATCTAAACTTGTCCAATTTGTCTATACTTATTCAATTAATTTTTCTAATATTTAGGTGCACAACCGTTAAAGGTTTGAAATCGATCGCAAGAAACATTCTTTAATCTTTTACGTATGCGAATTTTACAAACTGGACTATAAAGTTGGAAAAAAAGTCCTAAATTGGCCAATTCCAATGCTATTTTTTCTCCAAGCCTTGTGAATAAAAAAATAACCTGACATATTATAGGTATTCCTTATAGAGGGATACCCAACAATTTTATTCCATACACTTAATTCTTTCCCATGTCATTACATTACTACTTAGGGTCCTGGTCCAGTTATTGTTAGTAAAACAAATTTGACACTTTTATTGATAAAAAATATGAATACATTTTCTTTCTCGTATAGGATTTTTTAAGAGTCTTCAAATTAAAGCTACGGAATCATGTTCCTGCTCAGCAAGATGCATCATGTCAGTGGTTGCTGCTCGGGTGCCCATCCTGTCATGGTTACCTTCTTACAACCTCAGGTCCAGCCTAGTCGGAGATATTGTATCTGGTATCACTGTAGCTATTATGCACATACCACAAGGTAAGTTATGTCTGGTATCACTGTAACCATAGTAAATATACCACCAGGTGAGTCGTGTCTGGTATCACTGTAACCATAGTAAATATACCACCAGGTGAGTCGTGTCTGGTATCACTGTAACCATAGTAAATATACCACCAGGTAAGTAGTGTCTGGTATCACTGTAGCCATAGTAAATATACCAGCAGGTGAGTCGTGTCTGGTATCACTGTAACCATAGTAAATATACCACCAGGTAAATCGTGTCTGGTATCACTGTAGCCATAGTAAATATACCAGCAGGTGAGTCGTGTCTGGTATCACTGTAGCCATAGTAAATATACCACCAGGTGAGTCGTGTCTGGTATCACTGTAGCCATAGTAAATATACCACCAGGTGAGTCGTGTCTGGTATCACTGTAGCCATAGTAAATATACCACCAGGTGAGTCGTGTCTGGTATCACTGTAGCCATAGTAAATATACCACCAGGTGAGTCGTGTCTGGTATCACTGTAGCCATAGTAAATATACCACCAGGTGAGTCGTGTCTGGTATCACTGTAGCCATAGTAAATATACCACCAGGTGAGTCGTGTCTGGTACACTGAGCCATAGTAAAATATACCACCAGGTGAGTCGTGTCGGGTAACGAAGAAAAGCATAGTAAATTACCCCAGGGAGTCGTGCTGGGATCCGTAGCCAAGAAAATATACACAGGAGTCGGTCTGTGGTTCACTGTAGCCATAGAAAACCACCGGTGATGTGTTGTACATTAGATAGTAAAGGCCACGGGTGAGTCGTGGGTAATTAGCCATAGCCAAAAAATCAACTCATCTACCTACTAGTATTGTAATTATTAATAAATAAAAAAATAAAAACTTCTTCTTATTACATAAAAACATAGTGGTATAATGGGCAAATATTTTTTAACATAACATACATACCTCTACAGAATGGGCTTCGCTATACTTGTTGAGCTGCCTCCGATCCGCATATACATGCTTTTTTTCCTGTTCTATATATGCTCTCTTGGGAATAAGGCACAGTTCAATGGTAAGTTTCGTCATACTTAGTGGGTTTTCGCCGGTCTTGTCCCGTCCGGGTCTTTTCAGTGGTGACCCGGGCGATTCGTCAGAAATGAAAATTGTTAATACACAAATAACCCCACGTAGGGAATGAAATTTTATGCGTTTGGGCCCGACTTGGACATTAACTTTTTCAAGTGTGGTGCACATTAACCACTCACAACGGTCCAAGTCGGACCAAAAACGTGTCATAATTTGAATCTCCATTTGGGAGAATATGTGCATCGTTCCAGTCTTGGTTATTGTGTCTTTTTATTTTTTATGAAACCTCGTTACCAAAAAGTTTTTCTAAGCTTTTTTTTTTAACTGAAATTAAAGTCTAATACCGTGTCTGCAACAATACACTACTCAAAGTTTGACTCGAAAAAATTTAATTCGATCAATCCTTGGTAAATACAGGTTATAATTTACATTGTGGGGAAATAGAGTATTGAACAGCAAAGGAAAAAAAGACGATTTCAGGAAAACTCTGTGAGGGCCCCTTGCTCGATGCAAAACTTGATGAAGCTCTACCCCAAACGTAACTGTTACTAAGGAAACAGTTTTTACGTCACCTTACCTTACTCAGTTTAATTTTAAAAGAGACGTTGTCTAGTGAAAATTAAAGGCTTATTTTTGCCTACAAAAGGGATGAAGTATTTTAAGGGGTTGATAGACTTTGTTCTTTGTCTGAAAATTTTTTCCAAAAAGAGCCAGTTAACAGTGTGCGTAATATGTGGACTTAGAGACCTGTGATCATATGCTATCAGCAGCCAGTATTTTAAATGTAGGAATGTACTTAAGATATAAACTTAAGAGTACATGTAAATATATGAGCTTAAGGGAGTCAAAAGTAAAAATTGAGCTTAAGAGTCACATGTAATATATGAGCATTAAGAGTTCCCAATGTTAATATATAAATTTAAAAAAGTCACTTTGAAAAAAAAAAAAAAATTTATTAGGAGCTTAAGAGTCACATGTAAATATAGAGCTAAGAGTCACATGTAAATAATGAGCTTAAGAGTCACATGTAAATATATGAGCTTAAGAGTCACATGTAAAAAATGAGGCTTAAGAAGTCACATGTTAATATATAAACTTAAGAGTCACATGTAAATATATGAGCTTAAGAGTCACATGTAAATATATGAGCTTAAGAGTCACATGTAAATATATGAGCTTAAGAGTCACATGTAAATATATGAGTTAAGAGCCCACATGTAAATAAAATGAGCTAAGATCACATGTAAATATAGAGCTTAAGAGTCCAATGTAAAAATATAGCTTAAGAGTCCCATGTAAAATATGAGCTTAAGAGTCACAATGTAAATATAAAAGCTTAAGAGTCACATTTTAATATAAACTTAAGAGTCACATGTAAATATATGAGCTTAAGAGATCAATGTAAATATAGAGCTTAAGAGTCACATGTAAATATATGAGCTTAAGAGTCACATGTAAATATATGAGCTTAAGAGTCACATGTAAATATATGAGCTTAAGAGTCACATGTAAATATATGAGCTTAAGAGTCACATGTAAATATATAAGCTTAAGAGTCACATGTTAATATATAAACTTAAGAGTCACATGTAAATATATGAGCTTAAGAGTCACATGTAAATATATGAGCTTAAGAGTCACATGTAAATATATGAGCTTAAGAGTCACATGTAAATATATAAGCTTAAGAGTCACATGTTAATATATAAACTTAAGAGTCACATGTAAATATATGAGCTTAAGAGTCACATGTAAATAATAGCCTTAAGAGTCACATGTAAATATAGAGCTTAAGAGTCACATGTAAATATATGAGCTTAAAAGTCACATTTTAAATATATGACTTTTAAGAGTCACATGTAAATATTTAACTTAAGAGTCACATGTTAATATATAAACTTAAGAGTCACATGTAAATATATGAGCTTAAGAGTCACATGTAAATATATGAGCTTAAGAGTCACATGTAAATATATGAGTTAAAGAGTCACATTGTAAATATTGAGCTTAAGAGTCACATGTTAATATATAATTTTAAGAGTCCACATGTAAATAAAGAGCTTAAGAGTCACATGTTTAATATAAAAACTTAAGAGTCACATTTTTAAATATATAAACTTAAGAGTCACATGTTATAATATAACTTAAAGTCACATTGAAAAAAATAAGTTTAAGAGTCACATGTTAATATATAAACTTAAGGGTCACTGGTTAATATAAAAACTTAAGGGAGTCACATGTTAATATATAAACTTAAGAGTCACATGTAAATATATGAGCTTAAGAGTCACAATGTAAATATATGACTTAAGAGTCCATGTAAATATATGAGCTTAAGAGTCCATGTAAATATATGAAGTTTAAGAGAAACATGTAAATAATGAGCTTAAGAGTCACATGTAAATATATGAGCTTAAGAGTCACATGTAAATTTTAAATAGCTTAAGAGTCACATGTAAATATATGAGCTTAAGAGTCACATGTAAAATATAGCTTAAAAAAGTACATGTAAATATATGAGTTTAAAGAGTCACATGTAAATATATGAGTTTAAGAGTCACATGTAAATATATACTTAAGAGTCACTGTAAATATATTTGGAGCTTAAGAGTCACATGTAAATATATGAGCAAGAGTCACATGTAAATATATGAGTTTTAAGAGTCACATGTTAATATAAAACTTAAGAGTCACATTAAATATAAACTTAAGAGTCACATGTAAATATAGAGTTTAAAGAGTTCACATGTAAATATATGAGCTTAAGAGTCACATGTAAATTATAGAGCTTAAGAGTCACATGTTAATATTAAACTTAAGAGTCAATTAAATAAAATAAACTAAGGTCACTGTAAATAAAATAAACTTAAGAGTCACATGTAAATAAATAAACTTAATGAGTCACATGTAAATATATAAACTAAGATCACATGTAAATTATAAAACTTAAGAGTCCATGTAAATATTTAATTGAGAGTCACATGAAAATATATAAACTTAAGAGTCACTTGAAATTTAAACTTTAAGAGTCACATGTAAAATATAAAACTTAAGATCACATTAAATATATAAACTTAAGAGTCACATGTAAATATATAAACTTAAGAGTCACATGTAAATATATAAACTTAAGAGTCACATGTAAATATATAAACTTAAGAGTCACATGTAAATATATAAACTTGAGAGTCACATGTAAATATATAAACTTAAGAGTCACATGTAAATATATAAACTTAAGAGTCACATGTAAATTATAACTTTAAGGAGTCAAAAGTAAATATAAAACTTAAGATCCATGTAAAATAATGAGCTAAGAGTCCACAGTAAATAATAAACTTAAGGGGTCACATTAAATAATAAAACTTAGTCACTTTGAAATATAGAACTTAAGAGTCACAGTAAATAATAACCCTAAGACCCCACATGTAAATAATGAGCTTAAGAGTCCATGTAAAAATATAAACTAAGAGTCACATGTAAATATATGAACTAAAAGTTCAAAAGTAAAATAAAAACCTAAGAGTCACATGTAAATATATGAGCTTAAGAGTCACATGTAAATATATAAACTTAAGAGTCACATGTAAATTATTCTTTAATAAAAATAAAAATACAACATTAGTAGGTGGCAATTAATATATTGTAATTATCTCTTTATTAAATATATTGTAATTATCTCTTTATTAAACATATAAAATAAACATATATTTAGCTTTATAAACATTATCTTAGCTTTATAAACATTCTCTTAGCTTTATAAACATTCTCTTAGCTTTATAAACATTCTCTTAGCTTTATAAACATTCTCTTAGCTTTATAAACATTCTCTTTGCTTTATAAACATTCTCTTAGCTTTATAAACATTGTCTTAGCTTTATAAACATTGTCTTAGCTTTATAAACATTCTCTTAGCTTTATAAACATTGTCTTAGCTTTACCACAAAACGCATCACGTTCTTCGTTAAACAATAATAAAATTCGTTAATCAAAGTACACTTGAAGAATATTTTAGTAATAAAGTTTTTATTCTTCTCAATAATATTAACAAATATTTTGTTGGTGTATTCTGCAGTACATTTATGATCTTGAATAAATCACAATTATACTGAAATTGTTGAAGATGTGTTATTATGATTATTACTATTTATTATTATTATTATTTTATTAAACAAAAAATTACATTATCCCTCATCATCATCATCATTACATCATCTCATCATCATCATCATTAACATCATCATCATCATCATCCATCATCATCCATCATCATCAAACATCATCATCATCATCATCATCATCATCATCACATCATCAAACATCATCATCACATCGTCAATCGTCATCGTCATCGACATCGTCATCATCCCATCATCATCAGATCAGACATGATCAATCATCATCATCATCATCACATCATCATCTCATCATTATTATTAATTATTACTGTTATTAAATTTAATATTATTATTATCATAACTATTTTTACTATTATTATTATTATTATTATTATTATTATTAATTTTTATTATTACTGGAAGCGCCAAACCTTGTATGGAGATGCACATCAACTGATGTTTGGTGCGCCAGCTGATGTGTGGTGCACCAACTGATGTGTGGTGCACCAGCTGACGTGTGGTGCACCAGCTGACGTGTGGTGCACCAGCTGACGTGTGGTGCACCAGCTGACGTGTGCTGCACCAGCTGACGTGTGGTGCACCATCTGACATGTGGTCACCAGCTGACATGTGGTGCACCACTGACTGTGGTCACCAGCTGACATGTGGTGCGCCAACTGATGTGTGGTGCCCAGCTGATGTTGGGTGCACCAATTGATGTGTGGTGCACCAACTGATGTGTGGTGCACCAAATGATGTGTGGTGCACCAGCTGATGTGGTGCACCAGCTGATGTGTGGTGCACCAGCTGATGTGTGGTGCCCCCACATGTGTGGTGCACCAGCTGATGTGTGGTGCCCCCAGCTATT